TCCAGGAATTGATTATTTTTGTAGATTTCTAGCCCATATGATGGTTTCGAGAGTAGATTATTTGATGAAAATTTGTTGGAAAAAGCCCTTCATCTGAAAATAAAGGTTTTCCTGGGTAAATAGTTGTATGAATCTTTTCTGCCATAAGATAAATTATGAATTCCTTTTTACACTGATTTCCATAAACAAATAATCCTTGCTTATATCACCAAAAATTGGAGTGAAGTTGATAAAGGATTCTTATACCAGATTTTCTTCAGCTAATCAGCCAGCATAGACAAGTTTTTTTAACCTATAACAGAGCACAGATGAATATAGTTGTGCAAGTTTTTAGTAAAAATCTTTTTGCAATATTAGTAGTCACTACTTGATATTCTTATATAAATTTTCTTTGTATTATGTGCTAAATATATTTTAAAAAAGTAACTTCCCATAATATTGAATAAGGGAAGTAAAACAAATAATTTACTATTTCCTCATAAATTTACTAACAGGCACATTAGTAACCAGTAAATTGTGTTGTCCTGCAATTAATTTACATTTAGTATAAATATTAGTTTTTCCTCTTTTCATTCATGCAACTGTAGCTTCCTTGAATTTATTTTGTTGCATTAAATATCCTTTATCTGCCTGCTTTCTTCTATGTAAGGAGAGAGGAGGATAAAGAACTACAAGTGTAAATATTAGGTCCTGGGGTACATGCATTTCAATTGTAACAAATGCTGCCAAACTATTTTGGTTTCTGTGATAAGCTGTAAAAATTACATGGCTATATGTGCATATTTTTTCCTTCCAGATAAATTTCAGAAACCTTTCAAGTTCTAAAAACAATTCTTGTTGGGTTGACACTGTTCTTAAAGTCTTAACTATTGCTGTTTGCAGACATGGATCTTGAGCTTTCAGACAAAAGCTACTTGCCATGCTCTGAGTGTGTCATGTTTCTTATATATCTGGGAATTGTTGTACATGATCTCTCAGATGTGAATTTCACTTCTTGTTGTTCCAGATAATTCCATCTGTTTCAGAAAACTCAGTTCAAGAGTCAACTGCTTGTTGAAACTTTCCTACTTGTATCTCCCTACACCCCTGGTGGAGACACTCTTGTGCTCCTAGGGTTTCCTAAGAAACAGAATGAGAAAATGGAGAGTCCACCTCTGTTCTGTAGAATAGGCTAGGGAACACCTGGCTCACAAATTTATTTTCACAGCAGATGCTTATTTGGTAAATGCTAAATGATCAGACTGTTGGAAACACTAAGGATATACTAGCTAATAAAAGAGAGTCCTGGTTCCCATGGGACTTACAGCCCATTGGGAATCAGATAACAAAAAGCCAACTATTTATTTATTTGCCAGGTGAGGAATTTAGGGAAAAGAATAAATCAAAGGTCAGAGAGGAAGAATGTAGGTATGATAGGGAGTGGAAGTAGCATGCTGTTTTGGGTAAGATGGCCAGGGCATATGTGTCAGATAAGGTAACATCTTACTAGAGGAGGAGTAAGAGATGTGGGATGAGAACAGTGTGTGAAAAGGCCTTGAGGGAGTATTCTTGGGAAGAATGGAAGATAAAAATGTGGAGAATGATGTGGGTTCTTTCATATATCAAACTATGAGGCTGTGATGAAGATGGTGGGATTTATAGAGTGAGATCAGGAGCCATTCAAGAGTTTGAAATCATTTTATGTTTTGAAAGGATCATTCCATCTAGGAAGTTAGCAGTGGTGTTTGAATAAGCAAATTACAAAGAGAAATAAAATTAAAATTAATGTATATTTTTCTGTCTTTCAGGAAACTACACCTTAAGAGTTGATTGTATATCACTGATGTAGAGATTTGTACACAATCTAACAAAAAGGTAAAAAGAAGTACATATAACTTAAGAAAATCTAAGTTCTACAAATGATGTTTCCTTGCGGTGCCATTATGATTTTGAACCTTGGTGTTGTTTTATATAGTGTATCTTGTTGTTTTCATGTAACCGTCCACTCCACAGAATGTCAGATCTAACATGTTGCCTACACACTACTTCATCTTCCTGACACCACATTGACATTGCCATTATGTAGCATTATGTCTACTATTTCCAGTTTGAATTGAGGAAAMAGCTTGAGGAGTGATAGCCACCCTATTCACCCAATGTGTACAGTTGCTTAACCATATCTTTATCTTTAAGCCCTTAATTTTACAACCAGTTTCTCCTTCTTAATATAGTGACATTATTTCTTTCAGGATTCAGAAAGAGCCATATTCTAAATGATGGAGGCAGAGTATGTCTAAAAACAACAAATCATTTTTGGGCAGAGGCTAGGTAAAAACTAAGTAAATTCCTTTTGAACTTTTGCCTTGGACTCCAATCCCATGGCTGCATTGAGCCTGACTGATAGTTCAATGTTATCTTAATTCTCACATCACAGAAGACAGTGAATTTAGTAGAAAGGTGGGTACCTACATTTGTATAGGTCAGTATTCTGTTTAACCCTCATAATC